CCAATAACCGGCAAAAAACTGAGCCGACCAAACTGAAATTGTGCTATTCGGGGTCGGTGTAGTTTTATCTGGTTTAGCCTGGTTGGCTTGGGTTTAGTGGTTTAGTAAATAAACCCTAGATTACTTCTGCTTCTTCACATCTTCAGTTTCTCAGCCCTCTTTGAGCTCTGCAACTCAAAATCGTTTTGAAGTCCGAATCTCAATCACTCAGTCTAGATTCTAAGGTATCATCAATGGGTAAAAACAAGAGAGAGAGGAAAGAAGGAGAAGAAAAATCTGAACACTCTGCTGCCACAGTATGCGTCTCTGGCTTGCCTTATTCCTTCACCAACGCTCAGGTACCTTATTTCTCTAGCTCTATTCATTGCCTTGATTCTCCAGACAATGATTTTTGTTTTTTTTTTATTACTAGAGTCCGGTAATTGTTTGTTGATTCGGGTTTTGCATTGGTGAATTGTAAAAATCGATTATTTGAATGAATTCTCAGAGATATTCAAATGTATTTTTCTTCAAATTCTGAGTAGAGGTATTGTTTTGTTTCCAATTGTTTCAGCTTGAAGAAGCATTCAGCGACGTTGGTCCCGTCAGGCGTTGCTTTTTGGTCACAAACAAAGGTGAGTGAATTCGAATTTAAAGTTAATCACTTTTTTGGTCATACGCTTATCAAAAGCTAATCTTCTTTTGCCCCTGTTTACTTATTTCTTGTTTACAGGATCAAATGAACACCGAGGCTTTGCGTTTGTTAAATTGTAAGCTACACTTCATCTGTTGAAAAACCAACTATTCTCTTACTGAGTACCACTTACAGTATTTACATATGTTTGCTACTCTCTGCAGTGCTTTACCGGAAGATGTTGATCGTGCCATTGAGCTGAAGAACGGTTCTATTGTTGGGGGCCGTAAGGTTACAGTTAAACAGGCTGCGCATCGGCCTTCTCTTCAACAGCGTCGTACTAAAGCAGCCGAAGGTTGGTGTTTGTAAACTTTTGGAATCTAAAGGTTCAGTTTTTACTGCCATTTCAGCATTCCACATTACATATTCATTGACATATCAGTTTCTTCTTTTTTTCTTATGCGAATTAGGGGTCGCTTTACCTGATAATTCCCAGGCAGAGAGTGATAAGGGCAGTTTAATCCCTGAGACAGACAAGCAAGGTATGAGATTTGCCTACATTTGTTTCTGAGTCTAAGTAAGTTTGGTTCTCGTTTGTCTCATATTATTAAATTTGTATGTGCATCAGTTCCTCCACCCGAGAAAAAAGTAGAGAAGCCGATTGAGCGCAAACAAGTAGAGAAGCCCAAAAATATAGAGAAGCCGATTGAGCGCAAACAAGTAGAGAAGCCCAAAAATGTAGAGAAGCCGATTGAGCGCAAAAATCCAACAAAGCTTCATATTGATTTAGCTGATAAAGAAACATGTTCAGATAAGCAAAGGTATGGTTTTTAGAATAACATGGTGATTTTTTGTTTATGTATTTATAGTATCTTACTATCTGATTGGAGATTAAGCGTATAGTTTAATAGATTTGAAAAAAAAAAAATCTACAAGTATCATTAAGGTTACATATTGTTCTTATGTTTTTCGGTGGGTGAAGAGTTGCAAGAACTGTAATCTTTGGTGGCCTTGTTAATGCTGAGATGGCAGAGGTGGTCCATAGTCGTGCTAAAGAGATCGGCACTGTGTGCTCTGTCAGATATCCCCTCCCCAAAGAAGAGCTTCAACAAAATGGTAAGAATCTTGTCAATAAAGTGGAGGCAAATAACAAATCCAATCATGTTTTTTTAGTACAAGGTTCGCATTTCGTAAATGGTGTTAGCATATGTGTCACATCATATTTCCTTAAAGCTTGTGTGCACATACCCTTTCTGGTATCTGACTAGAATTTGCAAGACACCATATCAACATGCTAACTACTACTGTCTGCATTTATGTATAAATTTATTTGATGCATTCATTAAGCACTAGAACTATTATTTTTATCAGGTCTTACCCAAGACGGATGCAGGCCAGATGCATCAGCTGTTCTCTTTACGAGTGTCAAGTCTGCTTGTGCTGCTGTTGCAGCACTTCATTACACAGAGATAAAGGGAAATTTCATTTGGGCTCGTCAGCTCGGTGGGGAGGTAAACATTACTTGCTTTTCACCTTTTGTACCTCTATCGACAAGTTAACTTATTAGCATTCGGAACAGTTCACGAACTCTTGAATTTTGTTGTTGTTGGAGGCAGGGCTCAAAGGCTCAGAAGTGGAAACTGATTATCCGAAATCTTCCTTTCCAGGTTCTTATAGTCGGAGTTTATGTTATTTATACAGTTTCATAAATAAAGCTGTGTTTTTCTCATGGCTTTCTTGGAATTTGCAGGCTAAACCTAGTGAAATCAAACAGGTGTTTTCGGCAGTAGGGTTTGTCTGGGATGTTTTCGTTCCTAAAAATCTTGATACTGGGTATGTTCTAACTCGTTTGAGTAATTATCTTGATTATGAGTAGATCACTGTATACTGATCTCATTTAGTGGAATATTTTGGCAGGCTACCCAAGGGCTTTGCATTTGTCAAATTCACGTGTAAGAGAGACGCAGAAAAGGTAAGATTCAGAAACATGTGTATCTTGATTTGGTCATTTTCGATTCAGATCAATTGTCTTATTAATTTTTTCATCCTCAGGCAATTGAAAACTTCAATGGGCACATGTTTAATAAAAGACCTATAGCTGTAGACTGGGCTGTAGCTAAGAATATTTACAGTGGTGTTGCTGATGCCGCTACTGCTCCAGCAGATGGTATGTTACCATATTGTTTTTTAATTGCTGGGAATCTTAATAGCTTACCTAATGGTTTTAAACTTTTTGTTGTTATTTTGAATATGGAGATCTGATATTCTGTTATTGACACGATAAAACTGAATGCCTAGGGTATATAACCAGGGGATTAAATACAGTCGGTGGCGGAACTTTTGTATTCTCTCTTCCTAATAGAATATTCATACTTCTTGGCGTGAACCTTGGCAGGTGACGAAAATGAAAGTGATGGGGACAGTGATAACAGTAGTGTTGATTTGGAGGAGGTTGAAGATGCTGTCGAAAGCCACCAATCTTCAGGAGATGATACTGATGAGGAGGAAGAGGACGGCAGTAACAAACCGAGTGAATCAGATGCACTGGAGAAAGATGCTGGAACCAATGTGAATTTTGAAGAGGATGCAGATGTTGCGAGAAAGGTGCTTAAGAACTTTCTTGGGTCTTCAAAAGGTTCTATTGCTTCTCCTGATGGAGAGAAAAAGGAGTCAGATAAAAACAAACTTGAGGATTCGTTAAATAAGGCTGGCGCTGATTCTGGTGTCTCTGAACCTCTGAAATCTAGTAAAACGAAAGTGATGGCTCCTAAAGTAACGCAGGATGATGAGGATTTTGAGAGAAAGGTATTCATAAGGAACCTCCCATATGATGTTAGTAAGGACGATGTCGAACAGAGGTTTGCTGAATTTGGGCAAGTTGAATCGTTATTCCTAGTTCTCCACTCAGTCACAAAGTATGCATCCTTCTATGCTTTTAAATTTCGTTCAGTCCTATAAGCAAATTCTGGCCCTGTTATCTTCCCAAATCCAAAGCTTCATTGTTTGTCTCTCTTTGTGTTTTCTTTCTCAGACGACCAACAGGAAATGCTTTTCTCAAGTTCAAAACAGCAGAAGCATCAGATGCAGCCATTTCAGCTGCCAGCACTGCCTCAGGTGTCGGTATCCTTCTTAAAGGCAGGCAACTGGACGTTAAGAGAGCTGTGAGTAAGAAATCTGCACAGGACATAGTACTCGAAAAGACAAAGGAGAAGAATCGTGACCATCGGAACATTAATCTTGCTGAGGTACATAATTCTCTCGGTCATCACAAAATCTCTGGAAAAGTCGTAATCTTTGCATGCTCTTTAATCATCTACTTATATTCATCACAGGAAGGTCTTATTCTTGATGGTACACCTGCTGCCGAGGGTGTTTCTGCAGAAGATATGAACAGGAGACGAACGTAAATTTTTTTTGCCTTACTTTCTTATATATATGCGTGTTACTGTCTAGTGATGTGGGATGAGAGAAGATTGAGCATGTTTGGTTGTCCTCTGCAGATTGCATCATAAGAAGATGAAAAAGCTTGAGTCTCCTAACTTCCATGTATCTAAAACGAGGCTTATCATCTATAATGTGCCAAAGTCCATGAAAGAAAATCAACTACGAGTGATCTTAGTTAAAGCTGTTATCTCACGAGCTACAAAGCAGAAGCCAACCATCCGACAGGTCACATATTTTTTGCTGCCTTTGTGCTATTATTCAAACATTGTTCTATTATCTGACTCTGGTTTCTTTCTTTTCAATGCAGATCAAGTTCTTAAAAGATCAAAAGAAGGGTAAAGTTGATACGAAGAACCACTCACGTGGAGTTGCGTTTGTAGAGTTCACACAGCATGAGCATGCTCTTGTGGCCCTGAGAGTACTTAACAACAATCCTGGTAAATCTCGTTGCTGCTGAAACCTTCTTAGAGACTGATATCATTATGAGAGATAACAAATCCATGCAACATATGATATAGAATTCAGTAAAATCCAAGAATCACAAGCTCATATTTACGGTCATCGTTTTGGCTTTTCTTGCAGAGACATTTGGTTCTCAACACCGCCCTGTTATAGAATTTGCTCTTGATGATGTCCGGACGCTGAAGAAACGAAACGAAATGCAGCAACGGTTTCAGCAACAACGCACTAGACACGACGAATCTGAGGAGCAGCAGGCAAATGGCGAAGCACAGGCAGAGGGCAGCACTGGTCCAAGGGAAGAGAATGCTACCGGGTTTAAGAAGAAGAGACCTATGCGCCGCCCACGTGAACAGAGGAGAGAAGAAGCAAAATCAGATGAGAAGAGTGTCTCGGTGAAAGAAGATGCGAGGAACAAGAGAACGACGAATCCTACACGCACACAAGAACAGCCTTCAAACCAGAATGGCCAGCGGATGAAACAACAGCAAGAGTCAACTGAGAAGCCGAACCCGAAGAAGATGTCCAAAGATATGACCGATGTACCGAGAAAGAGGAAGCTTGGGGAGGTGAGAGGTGAAGAGAGTTTGAATGGGCAGAGGAAGAGACAAAAAGAGAAACAGAACGAGAAGAAGAAGCAAGGTGGTGGAGAGGTTGTGGACAAACTCGATATGTTGATTGAGCAATACAGATCAAAGTTCTCGCAGAAGTCATCAGCCAAAACCGGCCCACAAAAACAACAGAGTACTGGACAAGTCAGGAAATGGTTCCAGTCTTGAGTGAGACTTTATCATCAATCAAATGTCACTTTTCTTATGCAGTTTTGATATGGAGATTGCTTCTAATAATTTTAAGTTTCATTATATTGTTTTTCTGTGTCGTGGAAAAATCTATACAATCTTATTTCATCCATGTTGCAAACATATCGTTTTCTTTTTAATGTCACGTTATCTTTTTCTTGTTGGTATTACTATGATGAATTGGTCGATCTTTTGAACTAGACCGGATCCGAATTTTAACAAATCAGGATTTATTTTGAACAGATATATACTAAACCGGAGCGTTTCAGGGCAGCAAAAGTAGCATGTTGTTAAATATAAGCCTAAATACCGGTTAATTTCCTGATTCTCGAAGAATTTCAGTTAGGTTTGCGTGTGCCAACTAACCGCCATTCTCGCGGGAAAATTAGATTACACCTACAAGTCAATCTATCACCTCGTGTCAACTCATAATTGGCTTGAATTCAGTTTCAAAGCGTCCGTTTTTTTTTTTTTTTTTTTTTTTTTTTTTTTTTTTTTTTTTTTTTTTTCCGATTTCAATGGAGTATCTATCTCTTTGAGATCCTAACAAGAGTTTCCTTTATAAAAACCCTCTCTGCTTTTCTCTGCATGATCAAACGATTACTCATGGATTATTATTTTAAGGTTTTCTTCTCCGTTTCTCTTCTCTTTGTGATCCTCTCTGTTTCGGCCGGTGAGAACGACGGCGGCGACGATCTCTTGATCCGGCAAGTGGTTAATGAAGCGGAGCCGGAAGTTTTGTCCTCGGAGGAGGATCACTTTTCTCACTTCAAAAGGAAATTCGGAAAGGTTTACGGTTCTCATGAGGAGCATCACTACAGATTCTCTGTTTTCAGAGCTAATCTCCGGCGAGCGATGCGTCACCAGAAGATGGATCCTTCGGCGAGTCATGGGGTTACGCAGTTTTCGGATCTGACTCCTTCTGAGTTCAGGAGAAAGCATTTGGGCGTTAATGGTGGGTTTAAGCTTCCCAGTGACGCTAATCAAGCTCCGATCCTCCCGACTCAGAATCTTCCTGATGAGTTTGATTGGAGAGATCGTGGCGCTGTTACTCCCGTCAAAAACCAGGTTTGGTTACGATGATGATAACGAATTCGAATTGATTGAAAAAATTCTGATATCGATTTGATCACTGCTTATTAGGGATCTTGTGGGTCTTGCTGGAGTTTCAGCACAACAGGTGCTCTTGAAGGTGCTCACTTTCTCGCAACCGGCGAACTCGTCAGTCTCAGTGAACAACAGCTCGTCGATTGTGATCACGAGGTCTGAGACCATTCTCTTCTTATTTTTGATGATTGAAATTTGAAATTTTTGAAAAATACATTTTTTGAACATCATGGAAGCTCTGTTATTTAACCATAGTCAGACATTTTCTCTAGAAGCAACAATCTTAGCGTAGGTTGTGTCTCTTTTTTTGTTGGCAGTGTGATCCAGAGCAGGAAGGGTCATGTGACGCTGGTTGCAACGGTGGGCTAATGAACAGCGCCTTTGAGTATACGCTGAAAACCGGAGGGCTCATGCGAGAGGAAGATTATCCTTACACGGGAACTGATGTTGGGTCTTGCAAGTTAGACAAGTCTAAGATTGTTGCTTCTGTCTCCAACTTCAGTGTTGTCTCTATCAACGAAGATCAGATTGCTGCAAACCTAGTCAAAAACGGCCCTCTTGCTGGTAATAATCACTTTATGCATTCCTAAACCCTCTCACAATCCCTGTGATTATTAACCTTTAATAGCTAAATTTGTTTGGTCTCGCAGTGGCGATTAACGCAGCTTACATGCAAACCTACATCGGAGGAGTGTCCTGCCCTTACATATGCTCGAGACGGCTCAACCACGGTGTGTTGCTTGTGGGTTACGGCTCGGCCGGGTTTGCTCAGGCCAGGTTTAAAGAGAAGCCGTATTGGATCATCAAAAACTCGTGGGGAGATTCTTGGGGAGAGAATGGTTTCTACAAGATATGTAAAGGCCGTAACATTTGTGGCGTTGATAGTTTGGTTTCCACAGTCGCTGCCTCTGTCTAGATGTTTTCATTTATTCACACAATCTGCATTGCCTCTCTGTCTGTTCAAAACTTTAAACCTTCAAATAAATTTTAATGAATTGCAAAAACATCAATAAGGCATGTGTACACAAAAGCATCAACCGTAGCACAAGTTTCGGTTGATGGTTTTGTGCCTAATTGTGCCTCCCATGCTGAGCCTAATAAATTTGGAACTTGAGAGCAACACGAGCTTATTTGCTTCACAAAAAGATCACTATAACAAAATGGGGCTTTCTAATAAATAACAATCCCATTCTTCCCCATTTTCATTTTTATTTTCACCATTTTCCCTCCTCCGCCAAGGTATTTAAAATTCAATATTCTTTTCTAACAAGGAAAAACGGGGAGAGGACCCAAAAAAAATTGATTCAAGAAGAAACTCAGAATCCTCCTTGCCATACTTTTATATATGCACACGCAGAAGAGAGCATTTCCGGTAGTTTCTTGAGTCAAAATGGTAAAGACCAAAATCATCACTCGTCTTCGTTTCCAACGAGAGTGAAAGTGAAAGGAGCAAACTTGTAGCCATCCCCTTCGTAGAACTTGTTCTGGTACTCCACCCAGTGAAGACGCAGCGCGTGAAGGAACGCGCTCAACGTCTCCATCACCAGAAGCACTCCCACGGTTGCAAATATGAACACCAGGATCCCAATTATCAGGATGAAGATATTGTTGAAACTGTTGTCCGAAACATCCAAGGAAACAAAGAAAGAAAGAGAGAGAGGTACTGCTATTAATATGTTCCACAACTGAGATTTGCAGAGAGAGAGTGAGTAAGAGATGTAATTGCATTTACTTACCCCCAAGCCATAAGAAGGACCTTCTCGTAGAAGACTGAGGACAACTCCGAGTGGGCAAGACTGCAATAAGCCAACACAAAGCATATTTTAGCAATCATTGTGTATTTGCGTTAAACAATAGCATGATGAGTCTTATCAGCTAGTTACTAGTTTGTACCTGAGGGCCCAAAGACGAAGATAAGAAGCAGTGTTGGAAACAGCTCCAAGCACAAACTCAATGGTGTGAATGAGCTGGTGCACAAAAATTTCGCTGAACTCAAACTCCTCGTGTCCGTGTCCTCCTCCATTTGTTTCAACTTGAAGACTCTCATCTGTCTCGTCAAGCTGTGCGTATGCCTGACCCTCATGTCTCTGAAGAAAGCACCAGTTATGTTCAAGCACAAATTCAATTTCAAGTAAGCTGACGAGAAAAGGGACTCACAGCTTCGTGTTGTTTCTTGAGGATGAAGGGCTTCGGCAACAGCATCCACGGAACAGAAACCAGAGCCAGAAAGAGGAAAGTGAGCTGCAACGGGAAAGGAATGAGATGAGAGTAAAGCATGTGAGTTTTTGATACAGAGAAGGTGCATGGTTCGGTATTTGATGCAAACCTGTACTATTTTCTGGTTAGGGAAAAGCTGATTCTCTCCTAAATCATCCATAGGGCTCAGGAACATGTAGATCATTACGTGATACAAATCCGCTTGAGAACCAGTGCACCACTTGATGATGATCAGGACCGAGAGATAGCCAAACAAACAGTTCAAGAATATCATCTGGGGAACGAACTGGAACCTGATGAGATCATACACTTAGCTACGATTAAGACCAACTTATTTTTTGTTGGGAGAGGATCAAAGAACTGGAAGAGTACAAAGTAAATTGAATGGACTCACCATATGTTTACAGCACTTTTGAAGAATTTTGCATTGAAGAAGCTCATCATAATTCCAAGGTTCATTTGGGCAACTCCGAGAAGGATTGACATTTTCATCTTAAGCGAGTTCAGGAACGGAAGCTCACTGCGGGTACCATGCCACACAGGATCCACACCAAAGGGATAAGTGTCTCGGGTTTTGATCAGACCAATTGTAGTAGCCTCACTGAACAAGACAGCAAAAGACAAAAACTGAGACAATTCTCTTATGCATTTCTTTTAAAAGGGATTTGAGAGCTAATCAACATACCTGCAAGCGGTATCACGGCAATCATATGCTGAGCTAGCAAACAATGGATATGGTATGGAGAAGAACTCGTTGTAGATTAAACCAGTGTATATTGAGAAGAGTGACATCATAAAAATAACGTAACGCCCACCAAAAGCCATTTCCATAATATCTCCGAGTTTCTGTCGACAGGAATCAAGATTGATTGATGGGTTAGCATCTGGAAACTTGCAAGAAACAAATCTGATAGTGTGCTTAGTCAAAGCATAGATACTGATATATTACCTGGCTGGAAAATTTCTTTTCTCTCAGTATTAAATACATGGTTGCAAGCAGTATACAGATTCCATGACCCCAGTCACCAAACATAACAGCAAACAGGAAGGGGAAGGTAACAATTGTGAATACAGTTGGATTCGCTTCCTGATATTTCGCCACACTGCAACATAGTGATCAAACAAGATCAATGAAACTCAAGAGACAAACACTAAGCACAAATAAAATAAGCAAGAGTGGTTGATTCTACTAGCTCCAGAAAGAGTTGCTTACCCATATGCATCAACAATTTCCTGGAACGCAGTAGTAAATTTGTTTGTGCGGAAAAAAGTGGGAGGCATCTCTTTGGTCCTCAGGACTTGCAAAATTGATCCAACCTGAGAATTGGAGTCAACCGCAGCACGCTGCAATGCATCTTGAATCTGCACATGCACAACTTTAAACTCACTATCGCACTAGTACATCTGCAATAAGTTTCAGTTATATGCAAACCAGAGTTACTCACTTGTGTTGCTGCAAAGACAGGACTCCAGCCTTCACCCACAAGGCACTTCTTAGTCACATCAAGACTAAGCATGTTTAAAGTGTGATATATGGCTTTTTCTTTGCGAACCTGCGCGGGTAAAGATTAATGATGATAAGTCTCACCTAACCCGGACATGAAAATGGACATCAATTATCACTCTACTAGTGAGACGAAAGCTCCAAATAATAAAAGACCTTGTGGTTCCATTGCTCAAACTGATCTCCAATGGTCTCCAAAAGAATGTTGCGTTGATCCAACCCAGCACTTATGGTAGTTTTAAGCTCTGCTAACCGACCTGAAACCTATAAGATTATGAGAGGACTAAACAAGGTTGAATGTTTCTGAGTATTTTGTTATATACTATCATCAATATAGCAAAACGTGGCAGCAGATAAATCACGGAATCACTCACATAATGAAAGATAATACATACCTCAGTCATCATTTGAGATTGTCTGCCAAGTTCTTCGCTGAAAGGATAGCGATTGGCCCCAAAAGCTTCACATATCTTGAGAATTTTACTTTTTGCTCTTTCCCCAGAATAGAAGACAACAAATACATTTTTTTCAGCCTGTAGCATTATTTTAGATCTAAAGTCAATTCCTAGTAGAGGGAAACAGAACAAAGTATATATATTTTTCTAGCAAATCCAGAATTCCATGTAGAACAATTCTTGGCTAGTAGATAGACAAAACAGAAATAACCATAGAGCCAGTTCCAGTGTCAAATATTAGCATGTGCATCAGAAAACGTAGAAATTACATATAGCAAACTCAATTTTCCATATGCCTAACCTTCTCCCCAGAGTTGGGATCAACGACGGACTCCTCAATGACGGATTGTCGTATGAAGATGTTACCCCTAGTTGCACGAAATAAGATCCTCTCGAAAACCATAGACTTTTCACGAGGCACTAGCCCAGTGAGGAATCCAAGCTTTACTTGCTTTGTTGCATCAATAGACTTGTCCTGTTACAAAGGGAAAGTTTGTAAGGCTATTTTCAGAAAACACAAGTTGAAAAAATTAAGTAAAACAGTGGCAGCTTCCTTACTTCCTGCAACAACGGAGACTCCAGGGTGTCTTCACCCTCTTGTTGTGATTCAATCTCACTCTGTTGGGCGGTAGCACTTCTATGGGCTGAAGCAAAAAACTCACCAGCCTAGAAAAAAGGAAAACATCCACATGAGATGCACAGCCAATGCTTTAACCATCACAGTTTAAGCATGCATTTTACATTTTGGAAATCCCTTTTCACCTCTCAAAACTTATCCACTTAGTATAATTAAACTGTATATATTTATAGATCCATAAAGCTGTTTAACTAGTTACAAACTAAATCAACAAACAAAAGATAGGACTTTATGTGTAATAACAGTGTGGTTTTAGTAAAATGAAAGCATATTACCTTGTCAAGAAGGAGCTTGTACTCTACAAGCTCATTATAAGACCGCTGCAACTTGTCATTGTTAGCATTGATTTCGACAAGTTCAGATTCTAGCTCGTCAAGCTTTACCTGAAAAAGAGAAGGAAGAAAAAGTGTAAGCATGAAGAAATCGACGGAAGCAATGCTGTCCTGAAAATCAAAAGTTTCACCTCTACATCATCAAAATCAATATCAATGCCTTTCTCTAGGATCAGTTTGGGAGAAACTCCTGCCTTTGACATTTGGTCTTTGAAGAAACGTATCTTTCGCGCCATCTCTCCACATCTTTTTATCTTCATCAATCGACAACGAGAGAAAATAAATCCACCATTATCAGAATACTACATTTACAAAAATTCAAAAGGTGAATAGCAGAAACAATTCGCATACCTGAGCAGCATAAGTCCGTTGAAATGGGCTCTTCTCAGAATTAAGCTGGAATCCACATTAAAATACAAAAATCCAGAAATGAACACCCTTTAGATAGCAATTGACGACAAAAAGTTGAAAGAAAATGTTTCAACAGAAACCGATTATAATGGACATGGAAATCATATAGGTGGTGAACGGACATCGACAGAGAGAGAGAGAGAGAGTATATATATATACGTACGTCTTTGAACTGGAGGAGGCCGAGATCACCAAGGTAAGAGACGGTGAGATGAGCTGATTCCATGGGAACAATGACCTGAACGAGTTGCATCGGCTCCGACCGCATCAGATCCATCGGCGGACAGCAACCACCACCGTGACTCTCCGCCATGTCTTGGTTAGCCTTAGCCGTTCAATTCGAATGCTCGTAGAGGAAATTCCGAATGTGGCGGAAGAGACCGAAGATCTCGGGATGGTTCGCAATCTTCTCAGTGTCGATCGATGAGCTAAGGACAAGGGGACAAGAGTTCAAGAGCTAGTAATATTTCGTTTGTCGTCTCTCATGGTTTACTGCCACGTAGCCAGGAGTATCTGTTTTCTGGGAGATGAGCCGTTTTGAGTTTTGACCATACTGTACATGATTACGACTTGTCAAAGTTACCATTTTGTCCTTGTTTCCAGATTAAGCGTGATGGGTCTCATCGTTACAGGCCCATATTGAATTCGGGCTTTTCCAAAGTATTCATACATTAATTTATCAAATACAGTAAATAAAATTTATTCACCGATACCAAAACCCCTAGATCGGAACAGATCCATCGTCGCTCTTCTCGCTTCTCGCTTCTCGCTTCTCTCTTCTCTCTTACTTGTTTCTTCCATGGAAATGAACTACGGCGTCAAGCAACTGCCGAGAGTTTCATCCAGGGGATAAACGCTGAGCTCAAGCAATTCGATCCAAGTCTGTACGTGGCGTCTGCAACTGCCTATGGCGCCTTCTCCAACTACAACGGATCCCAGACCCTCATCGATTCCATCTTTACCCATCCGGTTGTCAATTTCTCCTTCAAGTATCTTCCTGTAAGAGAGCCTCGCTGTTCTGACTGTAGAATTGAAAGAAATGCTTCCCAAGGTAATGCTGCTTTCACTCTCTCAAGTTTGTTTTTTTTCTATCTTTGAAACTTTTAAAGTTTATCTCAACTGTTTTTATTTGATTTCGTCTGTCTAGATTTGGATGAGGAAGAGGGTCTGTCCCACGTTGAGCTGAAGTCAGACATTTACAGAGATGTTGACCTTGAGATGCAGCAAGTTAGCAACCAGAGGGAGCTTAGCCCTATCTTGATCTGTACCTCAGACCCCGACTTCGAACTCATAATCAGGAGGCTCAAGAGCTTAGGCTTCAAGGTTTTGTTGTTTGCCAATTCTGATGCTGAACCCTCACTCTTAACCTCAGCTCATCTCTGTTCCACCACTTTATCATTTTGATTATGTATGACTGTTTGGAATCTAGTAGTATTATGATGTATTAGTTTTCGGATTCTAGTGTTGTTATGAGTTCTCAACTTGTTATTGGACAAATTATTCTCATCTTAGTCATATATCGTTTTAATTTTTGTCAACATAATCTGCATCTGCTCTGCTTTGTTACTTAACAATTTTCGAGTGAGTGTCTATAATAATATTAATATAATATCCAATCCATATGGTTAAAGACTCTTTAAATTGTTTGTGACAAATTATTTGGATCCATTGAGACACTAGTAGGCTAGTAGCCCAAGTAGGAAGGTAACTATAGCGGTGATGAAGAAATAAGAATCGGAATGGTTTTGTTTGTATGCCCAAACCTTGTCGGGAAACAATCAAAATTACAACTTTTCATTCTACATCTCTCCATGTCCGTTTACTAATACTACCTACTCCTCTGATTACGAGTTGTCAAAATTACAAACGAGTCTTGGACATGCATTTGTGGTAGAATGCATAGCATGTTATTGGACATGCATTTGTGGGCAGCGGACAATCGTAACTTTGCACCAACAAACTTGATGGTAATCACAGAAAACATGACGTCGGCTCACGATGAATACGACACTCACTTCGCCTCTTTTCTTGAGGGTTTGAATTACGACTGCTACAGTGTTCTCTTAGCAGTGACTGATGACTACCAACTAGCAAAGATGCCTTATGACTTATGAGTCTATGACTTGAACTACTCTGCATGGCTTTGGAGTGACGTATCTGCTGGTGGATTTCCTCTGCTCGAAGGACGTCGACAAACACCACCACCATTTTCTTAAGAATTATTGAGGAATTGAAATTGATTTGGCCGTAGAGTACGTTGAATTTTCTTTTTATCCCAAATAATTGATTTGTGTTTTTTTTTCCTTGTTTTACTGAGTTACTTAACCAAAGTCATTTTTTTCTCTCTTTTCTAAAGATTTAAGTTTAATTTCATGGACATGCATGCTTCCACACATGTTGATGCCCATTGTCTTGTTCGGTTTTCTTACCAAATATTATCCTAATCAGTAAATATCATAATGTATTCAACTTGTAAGGTGTTAGCTTAGCTTTACATATATAGGCTACACCATAGGGTGTGATTCCCATTAGCTCAATTAACTTAATTGAAAACCTCAAATTTGGTAGTACAATTATTAACACTTTTTAGGGAGGGAATAATTCCAAAAAGCTAATACTAAAAGGGAATCGCAACATAAAATGTACGATCTCGACACCTGTTTAGGGAAACTTAGTTAAGATATTAAAAAAAATGGCACGATAAAGAATGATGCTAATACAGGTACATGTATAATCAAATAATTAAAAACCTAAGCAACCTACATGTAAAGAATGATCCTCTACTATAAGTAAAAGGCCCACACCTAACTTTCCTTACAATCGTATACCTTTTAGGCAAGCTTGAGTGTTCTCATCACCCACCATTCACCAGATAATTAAACCTTTTTTTTCTTATCTTCATTTTAGCATATGAAAAATTTGTGATAGTAAATAACAAATATCATAACTATAACACGGTTATTACTTTTCTAATGCATAAAAAGATAATAGCAGAGCTCGTATATATGTCATCGGTTGGTTTTTTTACGATTATGAAGTGTGTGTGTTTTTTTATGGAAGATGAAATGTTTGTTAATTGTTATTGTAGATGGAATTTAGCTATTGTTGATCGTTATATTATGAAGAGGTATTTCAGTTCGATGTAATCCAGAAGAAAATAAAAATTCAATTATGTCTGACAAGAAGAAAAAAAACTCAATTATGTATGCACAATATGAGGTGGTTAGTAGGTAACAAGACAAAAGTTAATCCCCTCAACGGCTACCTGTTAGCATACTAATTAATTTGTCAATAATAATATAGACAAAACCTTATAGTTTAAGACTTTGGAAGATGCCAAAATTTATCATCATCACCAGAAGACCATATTATCTACTCAACACAAAACTAATACTAATTAATTTGTTATTTTTAACTTATTCGGTATATTGGAGCGAAATAGATCCTAGATACAGTTAGATTTATACGTTGTAGCTATGAGATACAAATGCCATGCTCTATATATAGGATCAGTTAACTTTCGGTATTTTTTAGACTGTTAGTTTGTTGTTTGTAGATTTATGTTATACTGAGACACATATTGAATATATAATTGATTTTGAAAATAAAAACAAACAATATATGATGCTACAAATAGTTATTAACCATGCTGAGCCTTAACTTGGAATAACAATATACTGGCAAGTGGCATCCATAACAACAATTCAAAGATTATATACAAGTAATAAGTATCCATTAAGAGTTTAGTTCACCTACAAAGAAAAAAGGTTTCCAAGATCGTTCTCTATAGTTATCATCAAGGGACATGAAGAACATGATCTTAAGACATACTGTATATGTTGTTAAGACTTTTGGCGAGAAGAAAATTGGGTACGAGACATGAAATCGGTAAAAGGACTAGTAATCATCAATGGACCCGAAGAACTTGAAGGAGGAAGTAAATTTTGATCATGATGATGAGCAGATGAGTGATGTACCATCACTTTGTCGAGGCCTTGGTCGTGAAGAATCCCTCTGAAAACATGTCCTCCGATGTTCACCGTCGTCTGATAAGCGTATTGTTCTTCTCCGTCGTCGATTGAACTAACTTTTACGCATCGGAAATCTGCAAGAGAACTCAACTCTGCCGGAAAATGTCCCGGAGTAGTGTGGATTTGTACACCTAATGATCGGAAAGAATGTTTCAATAGAATAAGTTTGATGATCGACTAGTATAATATTGTTTCATTATTTTATGAGATCCGCTATCCAAGATTATCTTCAATCTCTAGGGTCAAACACAATATAAGCTATGAATCAGGTGTTATACTGTGAGAGATCTCATTAGAGTTATTTTTTATATAAACTCAGATATATACACATGCACTTAACTATACATGAGTAGGAAATAATAAGGTAAGAACCTGATGATGAAGGGGAGGAAGTTGTTTGCTGTTTTCTGAGACGTTTAGGGTTACTAGTAGAGAGCGGTCGCGGTTGAAAATGTGATTGGTGTGTGTGGGATCTTCTTCTATAGGCAGGAACCCAAGTGCTGTTGATGTGAGTTTGACAAGGAAAGCCTTTGGACTTGCAGCAAGTTCTGCATCTCATATAAACACACTCTTTCTTGGATTGATTTCCACAGTCTTCACACCTTCTTCCCATTATCATCATCATCATTGATTACTGCTTATCATGTTCATGCACATATGATTATTACAAGGGCCCGACCATTTTTGCTCTCTTTTATGTACAAAAGGAGAAAGAGAAGAGTTCACTCTTTTCGGCAAGCTTGTGGTATTTATTTTCTAGCTATACCACAATGGAACAGTACTACAGTATATGGTTTGTATATTATACTAATGCTACATCTCTAATTATGATGAGTGGAGCTCTTATGGTATGTTTTCTTTTATATATGAATTAATTAATCGATGCTTTGTACTATATTGTCGGACGTAACTGTATTCATATTCTTTGTGAATTGCAAAGTATCATTAATTACTGATCAGAAATATGCAGTAAGTCAAATCCAGAGAGGCATACATCTTAATCCGAAACCATTGCTTAGCGGCACAAGGTAAAGCAACCTATGACGAAGAGCATAAACCAAAAGTCACAGAGAATAAACCAATAATATGCAGACAAAACTGAGCGAAGTCATGTCCCTGTATATGTAATTGACAACAAAATCTGAGAACCATCTAATAAAAACCCTTAAGCCAAAACTCCTTAGAAGTACTTAATACATTAGAAACTATAAATTCCTAGTTATATAACTCTGCCTGCCATAACAAATTCTCTTTGTATCTAAAGTCTATTTTACTTACTCCTCCGTCCACTGATGCAGAGGACAACAGAAAATCATCAAAGACACTGAATCTGAATTGTTCACCGGACTTGAGACGGAGAGCATAGCAAACCGATGCGTCTGCGCCAATGACTGCAAGATCACAGACCGTGCAGATGTTTCCTTCCTGGCTTGGTACAAAACGAGCGGTGCAGTAAGGACACGAAACGTCTTTCTGTCCTCTGTAGATCGGAACATAAGTGCACCGCATATCACAAACGGGTTTCTGAAATCGTAGTTGAGCTTGGTTTCATCTTCATGTTACGTTCAGCGGCTTGAATAACTTGTCTAGCCATCTTGGCCTGGCTCTCCACTGGGCTTGTTTCCAACAACCTCCTGGCGAATTTGTCAGCAGTGGCGAGGTTCTTTGCCTTGTAGCAACTCCCATTGCACTCAGCAGAGCGAGCCGTAGGTGAGGTGCTTGGAGTTCACAGTGAGTGAAGTAAGAGCGAGCTCCTGCTGCCTCACAGGATCATCTTTAGTCTCTCTTCTCTTAAGCTCCATTTTAAGACCCAGGACGTATTCTTTGACGATACTGACCAGTCCTTAACCTCGTCGACTTCTCTTCTTGACTCGACTACCACTAGAGGGATGGTCTGGAGGATTGAGAGGAAGAGACGGAGAGCCTCTGTGAATTTCCCACTGTTGTGGCTTTGTAGCCAGATTTGAGCTTCTCTTCTAGCTGAGAGAATCATAAACAAGAGCTGGCATGCCACGGACGTTGGGACTGGAAGACTCGTTCCATCCACGCTCAATGGCAAGTGAAACCACAGGAGATGAAGACAAAGCACGCAGATAGCTATGGCTGCCACTGAACAGATCAAGAAACATCGGTTTCAGAGGCGCAAAGTTCTTTATGCCAAGCTGTCTGTGGAGCAGACGCATTGCAGTGTCAAAGCTTCCCGCTGCAGCTTGCTCAGCAGCAAGGGAAGATTTCTGGCTCCAGATCTGACTTACGGGCATATTCTGAGTTGGTGTGACAAAGCGATGAACGTGCGTTAGCAGAGACCTTAGGAGTGTCAAGCTCTGGTGGGAGCTCCAAGTCATCAAGTTCCCCATCCACCTTCCCCATCGTTTTCTTCTTCTTCACCTCATAAATGGATTCGATGTCTCTGTCTCCATCAACATCAAGTTCATCAGCCCAATCGCCTTCACATCTTCTTCTTCATCAACCGCACCTCCTCTGGCTGCACTCTCAAGTCCTCCTTCAAATATTCCTTTGAGACTCTAAGAAGAGGCCAATCACCACCACACATGACAGGAGACGGTGGCATCAGAAGCGATGGAGTTTTCCCTTCAGGCAAAGTGGGCACGTTGTCTCCTAGCTCAGCCGCCAGACGCTCAGCAACGTCAGTCAAACCATGAACCGAAGCTGTGATATAAGCTAGAGGCAGATGACCAGCATTCTCGAGTATTTTAACACGCTCTTTGACATCTCCTAGGTACAAAGCATTATGGAACTGACCCATCACGTTGTTCTTCACTTCTGCAATCTTCATCAACTTTGAAAGCTTGTCCAAATTGCCAGTAATGAGATACAGAAATGACAACCTCTCAAAGTTCTTTGTCTGCTGGTATGCAAACTCAACAATTCCAGAATTGCCTTGGCGAAGAGCCTCCACCCCAAGCCTGTACCAGAGGTCTTTCTCGTTAATCTGCGTCGCGGATGCAACAGCTACACCAATGTTGCCACTTTCAAGAGCCAGGTTGAATCGGATCCTCTCGTCTTCGACAAAATGGAGAGCAACTTCAGGGAATCCTTTCTGCTGCAGGTAAGCAATCATAGCCTGTCCACAAGCTGGGAGTTCTTTATCATGCTCATGACATGATCATATCTCTTTCTCAGCAGTGCAAGCTTGAAAATGTATTCAGTCGCATTGATGGTGATAACCCTGTTTTTCCCATCCCGGTCCAAGCAAAAGATTGTATTTCCAGAAACCTTGGTGATATAGATGGGACATCCAGGGTTCGGATGATTCCACTATCCCCATTAGGAAGACAGTACTTGATGTGGTTCAAAGTCGTGTAAATGAAGACACCATTGTCGTCCCAAGCTCCACTTTTCACACGTATTGTCTCATGAAGCGTGCACTGTAGGACCAGCTTTTTGCTCGCAATAATGATAGTATGTTTGCTGAGCAAAGCGACGCTCTCCATATCGTTAGACCAAACAACATACCTAACAAACGGTGTCTGAAGTTCACCAAGAACAAGCCTTTGTTGAAGGTCAAATATAACCACTTTATCCTCAGATCTACAAAGCAAATTTCCAGTCCCAGCGTAAAAGATAGCATCTGTGGGAATAGGCAGAGGACTCTTTTTAACCATCTCATTCTTTAGATTCTTGACTAGAACTTGGCTGGTGCTTTTCTCAGAACAGCAAACCGGTTACGGGCAATGAATACCGCAGAACCACCTGTCCCCTTCTTTGTCCTGAACAACGTCACTCCTGCCAACGCTATCTTTCGGTATGATGTACAACTCGTAAGAACCACCATCCAGTCTGAGCAGATCAAACTGCATTTTCTGTCGGACTGTAAGATAGAGTTCTTGGACTTTGATTCAAGCTTGGAGTACCAGGACGCCGAATAGGGATAACTTGGGAATCTTTTTGAGTTGAATACTCGTAAAGCCTCAAAAATCTATCCTTGCAATAGAACAAAGAATCACCACTAAAGCAAACGCAGGACGTTCTCTCTCAAGTTTGAACACGATCATCCCGTTGTCATGCCCTGCTGCTAGCAAATTCAATCTCAGGGTGAACTGCAAAGAATCCAGAACCGATCATGTTCACGACGGAAAGTCTGAATTCCAGTTCGCTTGGTAGCATCCCAGACACGGATGCTCTTATCCTCGGAGTTTGATACAATTATGTCCTGTTTTGCATGGAACATGACTGATGAAACGTTATTCATATGGCCTCGCAGTGTATCCACCTCCCAAGCTTTAGTTTCTGCAATAATATTAATAAAAACACATTACTAACTCGGCTTTGCTCTTTGAGACATTTAGGCAGAAAAGGATACATGAAATAATTACCATTCATACGCCACAGCTTTACTTGGCGGTCATCTGCACCAGAGACAATGAGAGGAAGGTGGGATGAAAGAAGCCCAGTTTACACCTCTGTCGTGACCTTCAAGGACGTACTTAACTATAGCATCAACTCCACCAAAAAGATGATTGTTCATCAGCATGATGTCATCAGCAGGAGAAACTGTCTTCTTCCTAAGAGCACCAATATCCCAGACACGGAAGTCTGATCTAAGGAAGCTGATACGACAAGGTCTTCTTTTGGGTGGAAAGAAGCACACATCACATAATGATTGTGACCAGTCAAGACAGAAACACAAGTCCGTGACTGCCAGTTCCATATGCGGATAGTCTGATCGTCACTGGCACTCACAATCCATGGGTTTTCGTGGTGGAATTGGACAGTCCGGATATAATCAAGATGCCCAAGAAGCGTGAAAAGGCACTTGTGTGTTTTGTAGTTCCAAACTTTAATCTTGTAATCATCACCTGCAAGATTAAGATCACTAAATGAGCACTAAGATAACTCTGTAATCAAGTAGAATGCAACCCATCTGAATGTAGTATACAAGTCACTCAAACCAGCTTTTAGTGGATTACGAGATCATAATACATCCAAGAATACCTACTCTATCATTTAGCAAGATAGAGATCTACAAATTAAAAACGCATCATATCTTAACAAAATATATACTATTTCCTTAATTCACTCTAAGTAGATTTCGAATAAACAAATTGGAGGTAAACTTATACTTACCTTTACTTTTTAGAATTTTTGATATACTTACTCAGATTCATGCTTCATAATTTGAAATTTGGTACGAGGGAAATCAAATTTTTCACTTTCCCGCCCTGTAATAAAATGGTGAAAAATGACATACAATTAATCGCTGCAGAGATTTTTTACTACACAGAATTAAGAGTTTAATATCTCTAAGAACACTACTATTCAGACCGAAGCCAGGTTGTGATCAGAGTCGATACCTACAAAGGAGAGCATCATGAAGAAGAAAACAGAGGAAGTTGTCATCGATGGATGTCCCAGAAAACCTCCTAGATCCAGAAAGAGGAAAAGCTCATATGACAATAACGACACCTGCAATGGAAAATATGTAAAGGTATCAAAAAATCTTATTAAAACTCATTTATAACAAGTTAAATAATGGATGAACTTTTTATGAACTAATAGTCATTCTCAGGGGATGAGCGTTGATAATGACATAGTAGATGGTGCAGAGGATCCTAAAACAACCACAACCAGAAAAACGAGAAAACAAAGAGCATCAACTCAAACCATCAAAAAACCTTCCAACACGAAAACTCAAGCATGTGTACCAGTAAGAACAATTTTTAGCAGAATCTTTGATGGTGTTAACAACATAAATACAAGCTCTGTAAGGGCTACGAGTTTGAAACGCGTCGATATGAATGGTTCCCCATTGTTTACAAAACCGAACCATACCCAAAAAGTCTTGACTTCTTGAGACTACTATTGGTCGAATGATGTGCAATTTTGATTTTTCTTCTTTCTTCATACAGTACTTAAGGAGAATAATTACTGTTAACTAATTTCTTGCCAAAAGGAAAACTTGTATAAAATTAAATCTTTTTTTAGTTACCTATTTTGTAAAGATTTTCAATCGAACCGAATCCAAAAGTGGTAAGTTCTTAGAAAAAGGAAGAAAAAAATCAATTATTAAAGCTTCAATTATTAAAGCTTCTCTCATAATCTCATGTTTGACATATTGTAGACATTTACAAGTAATGATAATTCAATATGTTAGTGTTCCTTGTAACCTTGGCTAGGAAGAGAAACGAATGTTGAGTACAAAGATGCAATAGGTCATCATCATCAAAATAGACAAAACATCAACTTCAAAGAGTTTATCATCATTGCCGTAATTCTCATAGAAATAGCTATAGATAGAATGCGTTTATAAAATCAATCCCTCAAACAAAAAGAAATATAAAGCAAGAAGCTAAAAGTTCTCATGATAAGAAACAACATTAAACAAACCAAAAAAAAAGACTTATCAGCTGCATATAGGAGACATACACACGCTTCCCCTCTATTCCTTTTTACCATATCATACTCTCCTCAAATAGTAATAGAACCTGCAACAGAAAACATTCACAAACCTGATTTATTGTAGCTACACAAGTCTCAAAGAAATGGCTACAAAACCCACTCTTCTTCCGTTAAAAGATCATATTTCTCTTACTTACCTCACAATTGGAATAGACTTTGAAACTGAATTGTTCACCGGACTTGAGATGGAGAGCATAGCAAACCGATGCGTCTGCGCCAATGACTGCAAGATCACAGACCGTGCAGATGTTTCCTTCCTGGCTTGGTACAAAACGAGCGGTGCAGTAAGGACACGAAACGTCTTTCTGTCCTCTGTAGATCGGAACATAAGTGCACCGCATATCACAAACGGGTTTCTGAAATCGTAGTTGAGCTTGGTTTCATCTTCATGTTACGTTCAGCAGCTTGTATAACTTGTCTAGCCATCTTGGCCTGGCTCTCCACTGGGCTTGTTTCCAACAACCTCCTGGCGAATTTGTCAGCAGTGGCGAGGTTCTTTGCCTTGTAGCAGACTCCCATTGCACTGAGCAGGGCGAGCCGTAGGTGAGGAGCTTGGAGTTCACAGTGAGTGAAGTAAGCAGCGAGCTCCTGCTGCCTCACAGGGTCATCTTTCGTCTCTCTTCTCTTAAGCTCCATTTTAAGACCCAGGACGTATTCTTTAACGATAGAGACCAGATCCTTAACCTCGTCGACTTCTCTTCTCGACTCGACTACCACTAGAGGGATGGTCTGGAGGATTGAGAGGAAGAGACGGAGAGCCTCTGTGAATTTCCCACTGTTGTGGCTTTGTAGCCAGATTTGAGCTTCTCTTCTAGCTGAGAGAATCAAAAACAAGAGCTGGCATGCCACGGACGTTGGGACTGGAAGACTCGTTCCATCCACGCTCAATGGCAAGCGAAACCACAGGAGATGAAGACAAAGCACGCAGATAGCTATGGCTGCCACTGAACAGATCAAGAAACATCGTTTCAGAGGCGCAAAGTTCTTTATGCCAAGCTGTCTGTGGAGCAGACGCATTGCAGTGTCAAAGCTTCCCGCTGCAGCTTGCTCAGCAGCAAGGGAAGATTTCTGGCTCCAGATCTGACTTACGGGCATACCCTGAGTAGGTGTGACAAAGACCGATGAACGTGCGTTAGCAGAGACCTTAGGAGTGTCAAGCTCTGGTGGGAGCTCCAAGTCATCAAGTCCCCATCCACCTTCCCCATCGTTTTCTTCTTCTCACCTCTTTCAACTTCTCCCATAATGGATTCGATGTCTCTGTTCTCCAACCCATCAACATCAAGTTCATCAGCCCAATCGCCTTCACATCTTCTTCTTCATCAACAGCACCTCCTCTGGCTGCACTCTCAAGTCCTCCTTCAAATATTCCTTTGAGACTCTAAGAAGAGGCCAATCACCACCACACATGACAGGAGACGGTGGCATCAGAAGCGATGGAGTTTTCTCTTCAGGCAAAGTGGGCACGTTGTCTCCTAGCTCAGCCGCCAGACGCTCAGCAACGTCAGTCAAACCATGAACCGAAGCTGTGATATAAGCTAGAGGCAGATGACCAGCATTCTCGAGTATTTTAACACGCTCTTTGACATCTCCTAGGTACAAAGCATTATGGAACTGACCCATCACGTTGTTCTTCACTTCTGCAATCTTCATCAACTTTGAAAGCTTGTCCAAATTGCCAGTAATGAGATACAGAAATGACAACCTCTCAAAGTTCTTTGTCTGCTGGTATGCAAACTCAACAATTCCAGAATTGCCTTGGCGAAGAGCCTCCACCCCAAGCCTGTACCAGAGGTCTTTCTCGTTAATCTGCGTCGCGGATGCAACAGCTACACCAATGTTGCCACTTTCAAGAGCCAGGTTGAATCGGATCCTCTCGTCTTCGACAAAATGGAGAGCAACTTCAGGGAATCCTTTCTGCTGCAGGTAAGCAATCATAGCCTGTCCACAAGCTGGGAGTTCTTTATCATGCTCATGACATGATCATATCTCTTTCTCAGCAGTGCAAGCTTGAAAATGTATTCAGTCGCATTGATGGTGATAACCCTGTTTTTCCCATCCCGGTCCAAGCAAAAGATTGTATTTCCAGAAACCTTGGTGATATAGATAGGGACATCCAGGGTTCGGATGATTCCACTATCCCCATTAGGAAGACAGTACTTGATGTGGTTCAAAGTCGTGTAAATGAAGACACCATTGTCGTCCCAAGCTCCACTTTTCACACGTATTGTCTCATGAAGCGTGCACTGTAGGACCAGCTTTTTGCTCGCAATAATGATAGTATGTTTGCTGAGCAAAGCGACGCTCTCCATATCGTTTAGACCAAACAACATACCTAACAAACGGTGTCTGAAGTTCACCAAGAACAAGCCTTTGTTGAAGGTCAAATATAACCACTTTATCCTCAGATCTACAAAGCAAATTTCCAGTCCCAGCGTAAAAGATAGCATCTGTGGGAATAGGCAGAGCACTCTTTTTAACCATCTCATTCTTTAGATTCTTGACTAGAACTTGGCTGGTGCTTTTCTCTAGAACAGCAAACCGGTTACGGGCAATGAATACCGCAGAACCACCTGTCCCCTCTTTGCGTCCTGAACAACGTCACTCCTGCCAACGCTATCTTTCGGTATGATGTACAACTCGTAAGAACCACCATCCAGTCTGAGCAGATCAAACTGCATTCTCTGTCGGACTGTAAGATAGAGTTCTTGGACTTTGATTCAAGCTTGGAGTACCAGGACGCCGAATAGGGATAACTTGGGAATCTTTTTGAGTTGAATACTCGTAAAACCTCAAAAATCTATCCTTGCAATAGAACAAAGAATCACCACTTAAAGCAAACGCAGGACGTTCTCTCTCAAGTTTGAACACGATCATACCGTTGTCATGCCCTGCTGCTAGCAAATTAATCTCAGGGTGAACTGCAAGAATCCAGAACCGATCATGTTCACGACGGAAAGTCTGAATTCCAGTTCGCTTGGTAGCATCCCAGACACGGATGCTCTTATCCTCGGAGTTTGATACAATTATGTCCTGTTTTGCATGGAACATGACTGATGAAACGTTATTCATATGGCCTCGCAGTGTATCCACCTCCCAAGCTTTAGTTTCTGCAATAAATATTGGAAAAAAACGCATTTCTTACTCAGCTCGGATTACAAAAGTTGTATCAGATTGATAAAACTAAATTTATGGAAAAAAGGATTCGTAAGTGATATACCATTCATACGCCACAGCTTTACTTGGCGGTCATCTGCACCAGAGACAATGAGAGGAAGGTGGGATGAAAGAAGCCCAGTTTACACCTCGGTCGTGACCTTCAAGGACGTACTTAACTATAGCGTCAACCCCACCAAAAAGATCAGAGTTCATCTGAGTAAATCGCATGATGTCATCAGCAGGAGATACTGTCTTCTTCCTAAGAGAACCGATATCCCAGACACGGACAGTCTGATCCAAGGATGCTGATACGACAAGGTCTTCTTTGGGATGGAAAGAAGCACACATAACGTAGTGATTGTGACCAGTTAACACAGAAATACAAGTCCGTGACTGCCAGTTCCATATGCGGATAGTCTGATCGTCACTTGCACTCACAATCCATGGGTTTTCGTGGTGGAATTGGACAGTCCGGATATAATCGAGATGCCCCAGAAGAGTGAAAAGGCACCTGTGATTTTTGTAGTTCCAAACTTTAATCTTGTAATCATCACCTGCAACACGTGTCAATGCCATCAACTACATATGAGTAATAATCTGGAAGAGAATTCGTATAATTGTAATGAAGAAGAAGAATCATTTACAGGTTTAATTTGCATTTACAGGTTTTCATTTTTTGCTTAAGTAAAAACACACTACTAAAAATCATACAGCTTGGGCTACATGAGCTTAAGCATTCAGTAAACCGAAGTTGGGACATATCAACACAAGGATTCTCTGCCAAGACCACAAGCTAGATCTAGAAACCAAGCTTGCTAAGAATTCCTACTTAAGCAGAAAGATCATGAAAATTATATCTATATACGTGAGTGAACCTCAAATTATAGATGAGACGTAATTTGTGTTCAGAAGAGAGCATACCTCCTGAGACGAACAAAGGCTGTGAATTGTGGAAATGAACACCACGAACAGGTCCTTCGTGCTCGTCAAATCTATCGATCAAAGTACCCATGCGATAATCCCAGAGCTGGATCACACCACTGTGCAAACTGGCGAGGATCCATGGTCTTTTAGGGTGGAAGGTCAGACCCTTAACTCTGTTACTCTTGGTCTCGAACTTCGTCAACATTTTCCCAGATTACGAATCAGAAACAGCTCTACGCATACCAGATCACAGAAATGGATGAACAAACGAGTCAGTCGACAGAAAACCGGGGAAAAAAAAACGTAATCCAAGCGAAATTGCAAACAGATCTTAAAGGCACGGAGTGGCGAGATCTAAAATATCGAGATTCGTGTAACGAAGAGGAGGAGAGACGGGGATTCACCTCAGATTAGATCAGATCAGTTAACAAGGGAAGCGATCAAGCACAGCTTCACGGTGACGATCAGTAGCATTACCGGAGAAGCGTGGATGCGAGAGATAGAGCGAAACACGGCGGTGCTAGATTGAGAAATGAGAAAGCGATCGTGGAGAAGAAATGAAGAAGAAGACGACGGTGGTTTTCAGATTCGCGGAATAGATCTGAATCCCTCCGCTCAGTTATCTGTTTCCAAATTCTCTCGTCGCGTCTCGCCTAATTTTAATGGAAATGAATTTACATATATTTATTTATTATTTATTATTTATTATTTTTTATTTTACACGGAAGCATTCGTCTTTTTTATGCCAGGAAAATAAAATGAGTAAATTCGTCAAAATCGACATTTTATTCTATGAAGAACAAGAAATATAGCAAAATTTCGTTGGATTTATGTATATTGATAATACAAGAAAATTGGAAATATATACGTACATATAATAACATTTGGAATAAGTTACTTAAATTAACCCTGAAGTAAATTCACAAGTTCCTTAGCCCTGGACTCGATCCCTTTGAGATACTCAACCAAAATTCGCTGCTGGTATGAGCCTCCTTCCTGGTCCGATCAAAATAAATGTGGTTTAGAGAGCGAGAGCAGAGGAATTTTGGAAAACCGGATCAAACAATCCGGTTAGGGAAACAACAAGTACATATTTGTGTTACTTACAGTTCGAATAAGCGTGCGCTCGATTCGTTTCTTGATAACAGCAGAGATCTCATCAGGTGTGATTTCTCCTTTACCGATTGTTAAGCCGTCTAGGAAAAGCTTGTTCCATTGTTCCTCAGGAGCTGAAAGATACACACACATCATAAACACTATGAGTAAGTGAGTCTATCGTCTACTACTACATTACTGGAACAGAGGTTGCAGAAAGAGACCTTTGATCAGAGTTTCGAGAAAATGCTCGGCTTTTACAACTTCGTTCCCTGTGACAACAACAACCAGAACTGAGTTTAGAGATGCATACAAACAGAAATGAGATTCTGTATCGTAGATAATGGAGGCCTAGAGAGTGAGTGAGTGACCTTTCTTTGCGTAGCTACGCTTGGAGAGAATGGTAGCAGCATAGAGTTGAAGAACTTTTTGAAGCATAGCAGCAAGCCCTGGTTTGTCTTTATCTTCTTTTGCCTGAAAACAACCTTGAGAGCCTCAAAACTATCAACAAAATAAATGCAAACACACTGTAGAAGAAAGGCCTCTCCTTGCATTTACCTGCCGTAGCTGAGCACTAACTTCTGAAAGAAACCCTTCATCTAATTGTCCTTCTTTTTCACGTTGTATTACTTCCTGTTAATACACCAATATTAATTAAACATGTCTTTTGGTCAAATGAAAGTGAAGAAGAACAAGTTGTATACCTTTTCCATTTGATGGATGGCTTGAGGATCTCTTGGAGGCCATGAAATTTCTTCTACTCCTTCCACAACGGGTCTTAGAATCCCTTTTAGAACATCAGTAGACGATTCTATCTTTTCCTATGGAGATATCATAAAACTATCAATCATCTTGTAAAGGAAACACTAAAGAAGAAGGAAAGACATGGAACCAAGAAAGAAGTGGATATAAACCCGAGTCTTATTCACGACGCAGTCAACTATAGTCATCACTGTTGCAGCTAACTCCTCATAGTCCTTCTGCAAGAAACAAAGCATTAGCGAAAAGAGAGCTCTAAAAGCATTGACATAACAAAACAAGAGAAAGACATGCCTTGTCATCATCTGATTTGCAAGTATCCGACCTTGCCGCGAGTCTTATCCAGAAAACCTCATCAAAAGCGAGGATATTTTCAACAACAAGCTTCTCAAGCTGTTCAAAGGAAAAAAAAAAAAAAATCAATTACTCAACAAACACACAACATTTCCTTTCAAAGTAAGACATTGAATTACTTCTCTTTGGTTTGCATCTTTAAGAGCATCTATCATGCGATCGAGTGCCACAGTCTTCTTAAACGCTCCCTCTGCATCTCCCTTGACTGCACAAATCAAAGTTCTCCTGTTTTATTATACCCAAACAAAAAGAATGCAATCAACACCTCATACATATCTAACTGCATTACACTGAATCATAGCTTCATTGTTTTCCGAATCGAAATTGAAAACTGTAAGACAGGGACATGATCACCTTCGCTTCAAATTCACTCCAGAAAACGAGCGAGAAAGCGAAGTTGTTAAAACCCTAGAACCCAGTCTCCAAAGCGACCCACTCTACTAGGAAAAAACGGAGGAAAATGAAGTCAACATTTATGGAGGCATAACAAGGTATTCATTTCGATATTAGCGAACAGAGATGTCACCTGCTCGCGTCGATGATGATGAGAATTGCAAGAGAAGAAGCATTGAACAGAGGATATTGCCGCCATTTAAGTGAAGAAGACACACCGAGAGACTGACTGCAAGCTCCGAGATTCTGACGACCGTTCAAACTCTCGGTAACCAAATCCTCGCCAGAGACAAAATCTATGGCTGTGTTATTTGGGCTCACATGCTTTGTTCCGTGTGGGCTCACTAGCTCCATTATCGGCCCATAACAATTACTCATCGAATTCAATAAGGCCTTATTGATTTGATTTTGTAAAGCAATGCATTTACTCTTTTTTTTGTATCAAGATACTAGATTACTAGTTGACTACAGTATTAAATACTTTGATCAGTTTATCTTTGCCTACATACTACGTATAATCTTTGCCCGAAGAAGAAAAAGACGGCCGAGATAATCTTTACTTTGTTTTACAATTGATTTTTCATTACATATCTTTACTCTCCACATGTATGTTTCTATGCGAAAGATCATCACATTGGAAAAGTATGAACAGGTTAGTTTTTATATGCTTATTTTTCCTTTCCTCATGTGAGAAATGACTTGTTGTTGATAGCAGTTAAGAACGAAAATAAATTAACAAAAATAAGCATAATATAAGCAAAATATAAGCAAAACATAAGCAAAACATAAGCAAAATACGTGCATTTTTCATTTCCCTCACATGTCGCATGCATGCATGGCTCTACATGCTTGTAATAAGTATTAGGGTTAGAGAGTTGTTGTTTAAAATCTGAATTTCTTGTCTACAGTAAATATAAACATTATAATTTGTATGTTATTTTATGTATTTTATATAGCATTTACATGTAATATATTCTCTTCTCCTCTCAAGTCTCAACGTCCATCTATATAAACGCCAACTTCTCCGATCCTATCACTAACACACACTTCATTATGGCTATTAAAAAACTCATCATCGCAACAATGTTTTTAGTCTTAGTAGTCGCCGACGCAAAACTCACTTTTGAGATTTTTTGGCGACAATCTCTCAGTGCAAGCAAGCTGTACCACCGGAGCTGAGCGTCAAGCCATCGGATGTGGAGGTGGCCTACGGGTGCATCAAAGCCGCTCTCAAATTTGCGCCTCCGAAGACCCTTCGAGTCGTCTCCTCCCTCGCGTCTCTTTGCCACGTCCAGCTCCCCTTCAAGCTTGAGCCGGCGGCAATCTGCACCATAGGGAAGAAGAAAGATGATATCTATTAAAGGAACAATGTAATATTATTGAATAATGAATAATATGAGACATTTGAGATAGTTTCTACTTGCTAATTAATCTACTTCAATTCAAAAGGGAAGATAAATTCATAAATTTATCACAAGCAAATTAAACGACTTGTTATCATTTGAGTATTTCATATCAAAAAGGATGCCGAGGTGGCATGCCGGTGCATCAGACCTCAAATATGCGCCTCCGAAGACACTTTGAAACCTGCAAAATAAACTGACAAAAATGAGCAAAACATAAGCAAAATTTGAGAATTAAAAAAAAAAAACAAAATTGGCTTTAAAACAAATTATTTCATAGTTAGCATTAAAACATTCTTACCTCCCACTTTTACAAAAAAAAAAAGACATTCCCTCCCATCAACAAAAAAAAAGAAAAAACATTTAACAATGTGTCTCGCCTAAGTGTTATATTTCTTATAAATTTAATTTATATTATTGGAACAAGAAATAAAGTACATTGTTACGCACTCTAATAAATAACAATGGGACTTCTCACATTGTGTATGAGTGCCATCAAACCAGATTAGACTTGCAGACGAAGGCAAATTCGTATTGAGATTGCTGCCAGGAGTGTCGGCCCTGACCTAAAGCAAGCATAGTGCTTTAGGCGCCAGAAGATGATTAATATTTAGGGCGCCAGAATAGCAGAGATTCTTTAGTAGTGTGGTGGCAATGTCGCTGCTTTATGTTGCATAGGTCACGTGTTCGAAACCTTTTCATGCGAGAGTCGTTTTTTATTTTTAACCTGTGTTTTTTTATGGACTTTGTTTTTGCTTTCGGCGCCATATTGGGTCGGGCCGGCCCTGAGGAACAGTCACCGTGAAAGACTGCTTCCCGTTCACCTTTTTAAAAGACAAGACACTAGGCGAGACCCTAGCGTGGAGCTTAGATACGTAACTTAAGACAAGTTTTGATTTGTATGTAGAAATAGGGGTGTCGACCCGACATTAGTAACGTCTTGAAGACACCCACTGTCACATCGCCTAAGAAAGATAAAGCAAAGTATGAAATAAAAAACATATATAATTACAGGTCAAAAGCATATCATCAATACCGGAAAGTAAATCACGTACTCAGCGGACTCCACGTAACAAGCAGACGAATTAACAGCAGATTTTCCATACACGAGAGGGTACATGGTCCCATTCAAATCGAACGAATTCACTGATCGTCCCTGTTTTCATATATATATATATATATATAAAGAAAAGAAACCATGCAAACATATTAATTAACGATACGTAGAGTAATAAAGAAAAGACATGTTATACGTCACGTACGACAAGTGTTTTCCCGTCACCCAAAACAATTTTGGTGAAAAAGGCAACGGTGATAGATCCATGGAGCTACGCTACCGATCACTCCTTGTTGTGGACCACTTTTGTTTTTCAAGTCATTTGCATATTTACTTTGATCAATTTTTTGCATATTACAATACGTATAATATTTGCCTGAAGAAACAAAAAAAGGGCCTGAGATCATCTTTACTTTGCTGTTCCAATGGATTTTGCCAATACGTATCTTGACTAAAACTTCTACTCTTTTTACCTCTGTACTTCGAAAGATCACAATGGAAAAGTATGAACAGATAAGTTATTTTCTGCACATTTTTGGGTTATACCATACGTATCACGTATATATGTTATGTTTCATTCCTCCTATTTGCCCCATTTTTCAATAAAACGATATACCAAAGCGTGAAAGCCACTACATACAAGCAACAAAAAAGGTACTTAGAAACTTCGAGGCTTTGCTTCGTGTAGTTCTTGAAACCTGCAAAATCACACAGAATCGTATTTTAAATCATGCCTTTTGTTAACATTTCTTATTTCTAAAACACATGAAGCGAGATACTGTTGCTGAACTTAAGCATTTTGGATTTTATAGATTTGTGATGATGAGATTACCTTAAACTGTGTGAAAGAGGGTGGCTAGACTTGTCCGGGGTCATGAGGGAAAGGCAAACAGGCGATCAGATATCTTGGTGCGGCAGATTGGGCACTCGGAGCAGGCAAGCGAACATGACTTACAAACTGTGCAAAACGAGATTTTGTGATCTTTTTAAGTGTAGTAGTTTACAGTTGCTGAAGAAAGATACTCAGGGGAGTGAGAGAGTGAGACTTACGGCAGAAATGACGGCAAGGGAGGAGAATTGTGGCTGTCGGCGACTCAAAACAGACTTTGCAGATATGTGAGTTTGCGTCTGCGTTGGCTGCTGCAGCCGCTTGTGATTTCATCTCTTTCTCCTTCATCTCTTGCATTCTTGCCTGTTATGTCAAAACACATCAAATTCAGGACAAAACAAAAAAAACATTTGAGATTTTTGTTCTAGCTTATTTTCTCCCTTCTTTCAACGGTTTGAAGTTTATATTATTATGGATGTATTTGAGTGATAGTGATATTTCATGGATTACATTAAATCGTACACAGGTAACAAAGTTCCATAACCCCAAAATATCCAGAGAAAAACCCAACACCCACGAGTAATTCATTTGTAGTAAAGATACTTAGGAGTTAATTTGGACATGATACTTGAATAATTTGATCAGGTATTGAGGCATTTTGGATCAGGTAAAGCTTATAATAATATTAAGAACCATATATTTTTGGGTATTTTGATTTTTGATGATATTTTTCGTATCCCGATCCAAAGGTTACAGCATAACAGGTATGGAACGGGTCACTAACAGGTATATATATGTGCATAACCATAGACTATTTAGTAGGCTTGCTTGCTTATAGACAACTAATAATGCTGAAGGAAAATAGAAGGCAAATTTGCAAAGGTACCTTAAGGCGAGCAACGAGTGGTTCCTCCTTTGGTTGTGTCTCCTCAGTTTTGGATACTATCACTTCTTCAGGTGATGAATTCAAAACTTGTCTCTCTTTCAATATCGCATCTTGTTGATTCTTATTCTCATCTTCCATTGCAGGCTCGGCGACGAGAGCTTCCTCACTCTTTGATACAGACAAGACCCCACCGGCTTTCTTCAATTTGGCAACGAGCACCCACATGTTGGCTAAATCGTTTTCCAGGGCCTCTTCTCTTCTCTTTGCTTCCTCCGCTTTTTTCTTATACTCTTCTTCTATGTATTGTTTCTCAGCTAATTTGGCCTCGAGAACTGCTTCCCGCTGTTTCCTCGCCTGCAACTCCGTTTTGAGATCTTCTTGGTTGAGATTCCACGAGTCTGAGATCCTTGCCTTTCTTCCTGGCCTTGTCCCATTGCGATTAGCCACACTGTTCATGGAGTTATTGTTGTTACGTATCTGAGCTGCCGCCAAGTCTCTTGCAGCTACTACTTCTTTTTCTAGCTTTGCGTTTTGAAGCGAGAGCTTTGTTACTTCGTCAGCTAGATTTTTCAGCTCAATAGCAGCTGCAGAGGCCAGTTCCTTAGCATATGAAGCTTCTTCAGCTAGTTTTTGGTTTTGCACTCGTAATCCTCTCTTCTCCTCCCCACTCTGCACATGCTCTAGCTTCAACTTTTCGTTCTCAGACTCCTGAAGTATAAAAACATCAACGGTCATGTATGATATTTTGTGTATTTTGGAAACATGTATGATATCTCCTCACAACTGGTGCATATATTTATCAGGCATACTTGTGAGAATGTGCAATCGCAAATTTGATAAAAGAAAAGGGTTGAGATTTTGATAAATTACCTGAGATTGTACTTTCTTTTTCAGCTCTTCCACATACTCTTCACTTGCAGCATTACCAGAACAAGACTGTGAGGACTTTTGACTCGATTGCCGTTGCTTTAGAAGGCGCACCTTTTCTTGTAATTCATTGTTCTCGGCACACTGCAGTAGTTAAAGCATGTGTGAAGAAACAAGGATGAGTGAGATAAAAGGCAGAAGAAAATGCTATGGAGAATGTAAAGGAAAAAATAGTAGACGTTTCAGTGACTTAGAAGTGACCTTTTTCTCTAGTTGTTCTTGGAGAATACGATTATCTGCTGATATGATCTGATCCATAGGAAGAACACAATTAAATTTACATTGACTTTGAGCAATCTTCATTTTCGCTATAAAGCAAGACATTTCATTCCAGGGAACATATATTTTACCTCCAGCTCAAAGCTCTTCTGATTGCACTGTGTCATCAACCTCATAACTTTCTGGAAACAACAAAATAATCATGATACCTTTAGCTCATCAACATTGTGTCCACAACTAAGTGTTCTCAATAGGATAAATAATATGATGATAAGATGTGAAGATTAGATTACCTGTTGCATCTCAATAGATGATGCATTAGCGATTGAAGCTTCACCACTCTCAGTTATTCGCTGCTCCAAAGACCTCATTTGTCTTTGCTTTTCTTGAATCTCTCTTTCTAAATTTTGGATCTGCATGCGGATCTTTGTTAAGTTCCATACTTACACTTATTGCAGATATTCTATTAAAGTTCACGAAAGGGTCTGGCTATGCATTTTGCTGATTTTGCCGAGTCAAAATTAGGAAGAACATAGTCCTACTGGTATAAATTCAAGAAATATAAAGAAGAATCTTTACTTGGGGTTTTGAGTTTTCAGGATCATCTACGGACTGATCCACCAAACGCTTTAGTGTGCTTTTGCTGAAAGCTATCTCACCAGCAAGCATCTTAACCTGTTCAACAAGGAGGTCCATTTCATCCGCTGTCATGCTGCCCTACAATAGCCACAACTACCAGATGTCATTTTCTGACAAGAGCAACCCTTGTTTTGAGAAAAAGAATACACCAAACTTTGAATAGACGAATTCTGAAGTAAAAACATATAAACTAAAAATCCAAACGTACTTGAATTAATTCTGCACCAGAACCAGTCGGAGAGTTTTCATCCTTCAACTTGTTGGAAGACCGTCGGTGCTTAAGTCCTACAGAAGCATCTGATGCAAGAGACAGAGTCGAAGATGGAGATGCCATATTATCACTGTCCAAGAGCAGAGAGTCCAACTTCTGAAGAGCAGAAGAAAACAGAATAAGTCATCCA